ACTTAGATGCAGACATGTCAGCAAAGGAGTCTATAAAACACAAGACGAACCATAGAATAGATGAAAAAAAGCAAAGTGGAGAGTTGAGACATCTGTGGAAAAAGTTGATTATCTATGTACCAGTGATAGTGATACCAACCATTTTATGTGGATGTGAGCCGTGAGCTTTAAATGTTACAGCAAGGAGGAGGCTGAAACCAGCGGAGATGTCATGTTTGAGAGTAATGTGTGGTGTGAATATTATGCAAAGAATTCAGGGCAGAGAAATTCAAAGACTGTATGGCATGGTAAAAAGGTATTATTCTTGGGGACAGTAATGCAGTAACAAACAAAGTGGCCCAGGTGTTTAGTGAGGATAGAGCAGAATAGGGTAATCAAGGTGGTGTATAAATTGGGTGTGGAAGGAAGTAATGGTAAGAATCATCCCAGGAAGGATTGGAGGGAAGGTGTGAAGTAGGTTTTAACCCTTTGAATATCCTGTCACGTAGTTCTACAGCTTTGAAGCCTGGGTCCAAGCCGCAGTTCTACCCCATGCGATCACCTCACTCAGATAAGCTATGAGTGGTAAATTTGGGCCTAGCTATGAGAGAATGTATCTTTGGTAAGTGTGCACCATATAAAACAAATCCTGCAGCATGCAGTGCATGATGAGAAAAAAAAATGGAACCCTGTTTTTGGATTAAAACAGCGCCTTTGTGGTGTATTTTCGTATTTTTTTACGATTATATTCACGGTTTCTTGGTTTCATTTGATAGAATGGAAGATATATTACAGAAATAGAGATGATTTTGATTAGTTTTAGTACTGAAAATAGCTTGAAATTGAGCTCAAAGCAGTGGAAATGTTCGATTTTTGTCAGTGTTCAAGAGTAAACAAATAACGTAATGCGTCAAATAAGTACAAACAAATAACGTAATGCGTCAAATAAATACATGTCAAATGGTGGGTCTAATATACATTTATAAATGCGCTTATGTTATTTATACAATTATTACAATACAGTGGACCCCCGCATACCGTCGGCATCACATAATGTTTAATCTGCATACCGCTCGCTTTTATCGCAAAAATTTTGCCTCGCATACCACTCAAAAACCCGCTCGCCGCTGTTCGTCCGAGACGCGTCCAATGTGCGCCCTTAGCCAGCCTCACATGTGCCGCCGGTGGCATTGTTTACCAGCCAGCCTCCGCGGTAACATCCAAGCATACAATCGGAACATTTCGTATTATTACAGTGTTTTTGGTGATTTTATCTGCAAAATAAGTGACCATGGGCCCCAAGAAAGCTTCTAGTGCCAACCCTACAGCAATAAGGGTGAGAATTACTATAGAGATGAAGAAAAAGATCATTGATAAGTATGAAAGTGGAGTGCGTGTCTCCGAGCTGGCCAGGTTGTATAATAAACCCCAATCAACCATCGCTACTATTGGTGGTACAGCTGCTGCTGCTGCTGCTGTAGTACCGTCTGCTGCTGCTGTAGCATCGTCTGCTGCTGCTGTAGCACTGTCAGCTGCTGCTGCTGTTGTACCACCGTCAGCTGCTGCTGCTGCTGTTGTAGTACCGTCTGCTGCTGCTGTAGTACCGTCTGCTGCTGCTGTAGCATCGTCTGCTGCTGCTGTAGCATCGTCTGCTGCTGCTGTAGCATTGTCAGCTGCTGCTGCTGCTGTACCACCGTCAGCTGCTGCTGCTGCTGCTGCTGTAGTACCGTCTGCTGCTGCTGTAGCATCGTCTGCTGCTGCTGTAGCATCGTCTGCTGCTGCTGTAGCATCGTCTGCTGCTGCTGTAGCACTGTCAGCTGCTGCTGCTGTAGCACCGTTGTTGGTGTGGCTTATTGAGAATACCAAGAAACAATTAACCCCAGAGGATTTGCCACCCAGGATAACCCAAAAAAGTCAGTGTCATCGAAGACTGTAACTTATTTCCATTGGGGTCCTTAATCTTGTCTCCCAGGATGCAACCCACACCAGTCGACTAACACCCAGGTGAACAGGGAAAAATGCCTGGAACTAGTGCTCATATTGGTGAATTTAAAGCCAGCAAAGGTTGGTTTGAGAGATTTAAGAATCGTAGTGGCATACACAGTGTGATAAGGCCTGTTCTGGAAGAAAATGCCAAACAGGACCTACAGTACTCAGGAGGAAAAGGCACTCCCAGGACACAGTGTCTCATCAGTCATTGCTGCATCTTCAATAAAGGTAAGTGTCATTTATTCTTCATTTAGTAGAGTAGTACATGGACAATATATATTGTGCATGTACTACTCTACTATTGTGCATGTATCCTTCTCTTTGTGTGTAGGAAAATGTATATTTCATGTGGTAAAATTTTTTTTTCATACTTTTGGGTGTCTTGCACGGATTAATTTGATTTCCATTATTTCTTATGGGGAAAATTCATTCGCATACCGATCATTTCGCATAACAATGAGCCCTCTTGCACGGATTAAAATCGCTATGCGGGGGTCCACTGTATAGCATAATAGTAAATCATCTTTTTTTTTAGTGTGAATGAAAATTTTTTGTGAATAAAAAAATCAAAATAGAATTCATCTGTAAAGCCTGGAAATGTAACTAATAAACAGAGGAAATGCCTGCATTATTTATTCTGGACCCTACTTTGAAATTAGAATATTTTGAACTTTGTGTGAAATAGGCCAAATTACCAATTTCTAATCACTTATTGGGTAGTTGAAATAGTTGATTGGCACCTTATTGGGTAGTTGAAATAGTGTAATTGGTGCTTAAAATAGGAGTCAAAGTGGGCAAAATTGCCGATGTGTAAATATCGCTGATGCAGTAAAATTCGTGATCATGCAATTTCGTCAATTTTCCATCAAATTGTGTACTTTTTATTTTATTACCTTCAGAAAAAGATTCTCTACCATTTCAATAACAAAAAATTGAGGGGGGGGGGGGGAATTCTTGGACCCTGTGGACAAGTTTCAGATTGGGGGTCTGGACTCTGCAAGGGATAAGATGCAGCAGACATGTGTGAATGTGTTACTGAGTTGAGTGGTAGTTTTAATGCAAGCAAAGTAGTATTTATGAAGGGATTCACAGAAACCAGTTAAGAACATAAGAAAGAAGGAACACTGCAGCAGGCCTACTGGTCCATGCGAGGCAGGTCCAAGTCTCCTACCGGCTTGAGCCAATGCCCCAACCTAGTCAGGTCAGGTCACATTCACTTAAGGAAGGAACACGGCAACTGACCTAGTAGCTCAAGCTAATCAGGTCCAACTCACACCCACCCACACCCACTCATGTATTTATCTAACCTATTTTTAAAACTATATAACGTTTTAGCCTCTATAACTGTACTTCGGCGTTTGTTGCACTCGTCCACAACTCTATTACCAAACCAGTGCTTTCCTGTATCCTTCCTGAATCTGAATTTTTCCAACTTAAAACCATTGCTACAAGTCCTGTCTAGGCTAGATATTTTCAGCACGTTATTTACATCCCCTTTATTTATTCCTGTCTTCCATTTATACACCTCAGTCATATCCTCCCTAATTCTACGCCTTTCTAGAGAGTGCAGATTCAGGGCCCTCAGTCTATCCTCATAGGGAAGATTTCTGATACATGGGATCAACTTTGTCATCCTCTTGGAGGTGGTTTGTGCAGTGTCTTTCTCTGGTGAGATGGAGGTGTTATAGTTAAGAGCAGTGGTTCTTAACCCTATCACAGTTGGTCTTTGTCTCTACATTCTGCTCATGTAAGATTCTACGTTTAAAAATGCAATATTGCTGAGAAGAGTGAAAAAGGAAGTCAGATACTTGGCCTCTATTTAAATACAGAATACCCTTGATTTAACCCTTTGAGGGTCACTAGGCCCTCTCAGAGACTTGTTCTCAGGGTCGCCAAAATTTAAAAAAAAAAAAAAAAAAAAATTCATATGAAAAGATAGAGAATCTTTTCCCGATCATAATGACACAAAAAGTATGAAATTTGATGGACAACTTATGGAATTATGCCCTCGTGAAGTTAGCGGTCTCGACGATGTTCACGGCGATTTTGCCCACTTTGAGCTATATTTTTGGCCAATTCCAATGTACTAATCGACAAAAATCATAACTATTTCGCTAGAACTCCGTTTTTTCTATCGAATGAGTACAAGAAACCACCCATTTACCGATTTCAACTATCCAATAAAGTGGTTAGAATTTAGCAATTTTGCCAATTTCACACAAATTTCAAAAGATGCCAATTTCCAAATAGGGTCC